AGTGGTGCTACTGCCCACCTGAGTGCAAGGTCTCCAGTTTGATCCCTGGAACCAAAAAAAAAAAAAAAAAACCCAAAAAAACAAAACAAGAAAAAACAAACAAAAAAATATTGCAGCATAATAATTAAATAAATCATACACATTTCATCATTACTTAAAAAAAAAAAAACAAAAACGCTGTGTCCAAATTTGCAGGTAAGAAGTCTATGCTGGGGGCCACCCCAGACAGGGTATCTTCTATCTCACCCTGTGAAGTTGTAAGCTGGGACATATCTCTTCTCTCTAAATAGGCCTCATACCTGTGCTCTTAGGCCCAGGCCTGGGACAAGACAATGGTTGCTCCTCCTGGTGTGGAGGTAAGTATCCTGCTGCTTGGCCAAAGAAAGTCAGCTGCAGGAGCAAACAAGAGCTGGTTGGCTATGGCCAGAGATCTCTGCTTCAAGCACGAAATGCAGAGGAGAACACCCCCACCTCTCCCCACACCATCCAGTGCTCTAGCCCAGGCTTGCTGTTCTTGGGTAGAGCCACCCATCACATGTCAGGAGGCCTCTGCCACTGGGATGATGTTACAGTCTATTTTGAGGGTCACACTGGAGCATCTGTCAGCAGGGCTGGCCACACCCTCCATGTGTCATCACTAAGAGCCAGAGACACCCACAGGTCCAGTAAATCTGCCTAAGGAAATTGCTCTCTTGCCAAGAATCCCTGGCTTTGGGTCCTCCTTGGTTTCCTAGAAAAATCAACCTGGACGCTTCTTAACTCACAGGGCTCAGATGTGTCCTTACCCCACTAGACCTGCTCCTGGAGTTCTGTGCTCTGGTGACTTGGCAGACTGCAGTTGAGGCCCATCAGTCTGCACTGAGCTCTTAGCTCTAACACAACACCTCATTCATAGCTCCCCACATGTGGGGAGTACCCAAAAAGCCCAGTGCCCTAACACAGAGCTAGTTACTCATCAGACTCATAGGTCCACAGGTTCTGCCTGCTAGGAAACTCCTACTGATCCCTCAAAATTTGCCCAGGCTCTGCCTCCTCTGCAAAAGTGCCTTTGAACCTATTCTCTACTGAGCAGGCCACATGCTCCCTGAGGACAAGGTTGGCCCATATTGGCTTTATTTCTCCACTTCTGGCACATGGCCTGGCACATACTAGAGACAGATAAATACTCTATAAAACCTATCAATGAAACCTTCCTAATTAGCTTACTGTGTCATTCTATAAAAGACATCATTGTGCTAGACACAGTGAGCATGCCTATAATCCCAGCTATTCAGAAGGCTGAGGCAGGAAGATTACAAGTTTGAGGCCAGCCTGGGAAATTCAATGAGATACTGTCTCAAAATAGAACCTGACTTAAAAAACCAAAACAAACAAACATAGTGAGTTCAAGGCCAGCTTGAAATACTGTACATAATGAGACCCCGTCTGGAAAAAAAAAAGGCTGGAGATATAGCTCGGTTATAGTGCGTTTGTCTAGCATATGTGAGATTCTAAGTTTAGTGCCCAGTATTGAGAAGAAAAAAAAAGTATAGGCATTGTGATAATAAAGGCATCTCTGGAAAACCATGACACTAAAAACCCGATTCATTACTAAAAATGAAGTATACCTGGGCCAGGGATTTAGCTCAGTGGTGCCACCACCTGCCTCGCAAGTGCAAGGAGCTGAGTTCGATCCCTGGTACCAAAATAAAAAGAGGTATATCCAAATCTATAGAAACACAAGGCTGGGCGTGGTGGTGCACGCCTGTAATCCCAGCACTGGGGGGGGGGGGCTGATGGTTCAAGATTGATTCTTATTTGACTCCCACTGGCTGGTTCTTTGATGTTTCAGGCATATGGAGTACATGAAAACACTTCTGGCACCACACTGTAAAAAAAAAAAAAAAAATCTATAAAAACACAAGTTCAGACCGGCAATTTAGTGCAGTGGTGCTGCTGCCTGCCTCCCAAGCACAAGGTCCTGAGTTTGATTGCCAGTACCAAAAAAAAAGAAAAAAGAAACACAAGTTCAATGAACACTAAATGGATCAAGCCCAGCGCAGAGCAGGTCACACTGTTCTAGCTCCACTTAGCACTGAGCACCTTTCAGTTCTGTCACCTAACAATGCAATCTCGTAAGACTCCAACAGGACATGCCTTCACCCTAATCCAGGGAAGGAATGCAAGAGCAGCCCTGATAGAGAAAGGAGGCAGCAACAGTTTGGACATGTGTCTGTGACCAGGAGAGGACATCTGACAAGTTAGGCTACTCCACTGCACATCTAAACCCACAGCCAGGGCACATTCCAGGGATTCATCCAAAAAACAGGTACATCCATCCCCATTTGCTCCAACTGTTTCCTAGGGGTGCTATGAGGTTCAAACTAGATATTCAGGAAAGCTACACAACTAGTTACTGCTTGAGTCATGGACCAATAGGATCAGAAATACACCTTCAGCACTTACAGGAAAGAGGAAACAAGTTGGTCGCTATCTGCCTCCCCTGTAACTGCTCTTGGACTCTACCTGGCCTACACCAACATCTATCTGGCTATGTCTTAGCTATGGGAAGGCTTTCAGAGATCCCATAGAGTGGCCATGAGGGGCTGTTCATATACTTGCTATGCAACAGTGATCAAATAAAGCAGGCCATTATAGGCATATATGACCTAGGACTTTTCAGAAACTGAGGCTTCAATGGGCTGAAGGTGTAGTGCAATAATAGTGTTTACCTAGAATGTATGAGAGGCCCAGGGTTTGATGCCCAGCACTGAAAAAAAAAAGCACACCCATAATCTCAGCACACAGGAGGCTGAGGCAGGAGAAGTGCTGTGAGTTCAAGGCTACAAAGCAAGACCCTATCTTAAAACGAAACAAATATCTGAGACTGATAGCTATATTTACCAAATGTAAAAATGCTAGGAATAGAGCCAGGCATGATAGCACATGCCCGTGATCCTAGCACTCAGGAGGCTGAGGCAGGAGGATCACTGAGTTTGAGGCCAGCCTGGGCTACATAATGAGTTCAAGGCCAGCCAGAACTACACAGTGAAAACCTGTCTCAAAACAAAACAAAACAAAAAAAACCTAGGAATAGAAGTTAGAAATACGCCCACTTTGCTTTAGACTTGTAGGCAACGTCTACAATCAGATAATCTAACATGGAACAAAGCTTTTCCAGAAATATACACTAAAAACTGGAAAGTGAAAGTTATGGTGTATGCCTGTAATCACAATACTTGGAAGGCTGAAGGCTGGGGCAGGAGGATTACTGTGAGTTAAGGCCAGCCTAGGCTCCATAATGAGTTCAAGGCCAGCCTGAACTATATAGTAAAAAGGAAGAAAGAAAGAGGTGGAGGGGAGGGGAGAGAAAGAAAGAGGGAGGAAGGGAAGGAGGAAAGAAAGAGGGAAGGAAGGATATTGGGGGGTTGGAGAGAGAAGGGAGGGAAGAAATAAAGGGAGGATGGAAGAAGGAAGGCCGGCAGAAATGTTCGAAGTCAGTCAAAGGGATCTAGGTCTCTAAATTTAAACGCTTTCCTTCTAAAAAGTTGTTTTTATCTCTTACTAGCTCAACTACAATACACAATATCTACAATATAATAAGGTGTACAAAGAAACTGTTCTACTCTTCGCCCTATAATTTTAGGAAATGCCCTTCGGTTTCTTTGGCAATGTAAGACTCCAGCACCAACATCCTAGTCAACACTCTATTTTCAAGTTGTTTGTCTTAAGAGGCCATTTTCATTCATACAAGTTAAAGTACATTCAACACATGTTCTATCTGATGGTGGAAAGGGAATATTAAAGACTTTAAAGCTCTCTAGTCAATGTTTCCTAGCCAGCTGTGGTGACTCACGCCTGTGATCCCAGTACTCAGGAGGCTGAGGCAGGAGGATCATTGCATCTGAAACTAACCTGGGCTACACAGCAAGACCCTGTATCAAAAAATAAACAAACAAAAGTTTCCTGTCTGTAAATGCACTAGACTGCCTCTGGCAGTCCTGCCCACAGCACAACCCCTTCTCAGACATTTTGCATGCACCACAAAGGACAGTCCCTAGGACAGAAGAATTCTTTTCTAAATGCTCAGGAGCACACACTGAGGGTTGGCACAAAGGTCACTGGTAGAACTGGCAAACTTCCCAAACCAGACCCAAGGTCTGACAAGGAAAGCTTTTCCAAGGCAGCTGCAGTCATGTTATTTCATATCTTAAACAGACTGTTTTGCTTAAACAAAATCCTTTGTGACAACTGCTAGAAAAAGGGAAGACTGGGAGAAAAAAGAAGAAAGTGAAAAATACTCCTTCTGATGGCCTGTCTATTTTTTTTTTTTTTTTTTTTTTTTTTTTTTTGGTACTGGGCATCGAACTCATTTCCTTGTGCTTGCCAGGCATGCAGTGGAACCACTGAGCTAAATCCCCAGCCCTTGTGTCTCTTAACACCCTAAAACAGGGAGTCTCCCTGATGCTGACTTTAATGAGGATCTTTCTACAGCTGGTCTGACTGGTGTTCAAGTCCTTGGACTGAAAAACAAGTTTATGAGCAGCAAGGTCACCTGATTCTGACCATGTGTATACTGTTTACTCTGAGATGAGAATGGTCACCACAGCTTTGATGAATGCTGCAAAGACTCTACTAGCTCTTTGAAGCTTAATGAGGCAACTACATGACTAAATTCCATAAAATAAGGGGCCCCAAGTGCAAAAGGAGGGAAGTCATAAACACCATATACAATTTGGGGAAACCCCATTTTGGATGCTAAATTGTTCATGCAAACTTGTCACTTGTGTCCCTGGTCTATAAAGTATCTAATTACATCATCACTAAAAAAATGTCTCCTGCTTTACTCACAACATGCCTACTTACTTAGACCTCATCATGCCCACAGTCAGGTGACACAGGCAATCTAGACCCAAGTGTTCAGCAGCTTAAATCAGTCACAAGTACCACCCAAGAGACCTCAAGCTCAGAACAGATACAGGTCAGTCTTGAGGAAAAGAAGATGGTAACAAGGTGCTTACCCATCTCTTCCTTTGCTGACAATCTTCACCTCAAAGTAATAAATACCACAGGCAGCAGGTATGGGGTGGGTGGCACGCACTGAGGCTGCATCTTTGTGATTTTTGCCATGACCTAGTGGGGTAGGGCAAGGAAGAAATTTCAGTAGAAGAAAATGCCAATCTAAATTTCACTCTTCTCTGCTCCATGGCAACTTCACCCTTCCCTGGCCAAAGGACGCCCTTATTCAGTCTGAGGAATATTTAGACAACCGAGTAAACACATAAGCCTTGCACCTTTGGCTCACCTCCATCTGAGACACTGTCTTTCATAACATAAAGACTACAGACAATGTGGGTGCATGTGAGAAATATTCCAGTGCAGCTGGTAGTCTCTCTAGAACCCAGGCAGCTTGGAAGTCCACGGGAAGGAGGAAGCAGACATGGGAGTCATTCCCACCAACCATAACTTAGGCCAGAACGCCAGGCCCATTCTGAGATGACTGGCAGGCAAATCAGCCCATGCACCTCTGGCTAATGGTGGGGGGTGTTACCACCTCTTTTTGCAGTCACTCCTGAAACAAAGCAGCGTCCAGCTGGAGTTGGAGTCTGCCCAGGACACACAGGGAGGCCCTAAAGTGGAAGGTCCAGCTCAGCACTGGGTTTGGACACCTGTTGCAGTTCTCTCGACGTCGGGTGTCTCAAGGCAGAGCAAATCGGGCAATCAACCCTCGGCCTGATCAACCCCACCACTCTGGACACTCCACAGGGACTCAGGCCTAATCTGGAGCATTCAGGCAGGAAAAGGGACGTGACGGTGCAGGAGCGAGGGAGCCCAGCCGCCCTGCAGACGCTCTGCACTAGTACCCCGGCGGTCGGACCGGACGATACCTTTGTAGTGGACGCGGAGGTTTCCCTGTGAGAGGCCGATGTAGTTGTACTTGTCCTTGGGGCTCCAGGAACGCGGCAGCGGCGTCTCGTGCTGGTTGACTGCGGGGTACAGGCGTTGCAAGCGCTGGCTCAGCTCCTGCTCCACGGGGGACGGCAGCCCGCCCCCAGCGCCCCCGCCGGAGGAGTCCCCAGCCTGCGGGATCCCAGCTCCCGGGTCCACCGTCGCCGCCGCCATCTTGGAGGGAGCTGCTATTGTGTCACTGAGGGCGGGGAGGAAAGCGACCAGATCCGCCCCGCTTAGCCAATAGCCCGCGAGCCTACCAGGGCCTCTGGGAAACCGAGTCCGAGTCCCGCACCTCCCTTTGGACACTGACAGCACCTCGCCACATTTTGAACTTCATATCCCATAATGCAAAGCGCTCCAGAGGCGGGTCCACGTAGGTTGGTCGAGCCCTTCGGGAAATGTAGTACATACCGGCTCAGCCATAATTCTGTCTAACAGGGATTCTGGTACACCGAAAACTACAATTCCCATCGGCGTAGTAGACCTGGCCTCTCTGCTCGTCTCTCACCCCCGCATTGCTCTGTTTTACCCCCTTGCCTCAGTTCTGTATCTGGTATGAAGTCTCCTGTAGTAACTGGTTCTCAGGGTACTCCATCTTCGGATCGGGGGCCACCTTTGCTATTTGGCCTTCTTCCCAGCTCTCAAACTAGGGCTGGGAGCGTGGCAAACCTTAACCCCGCCCTCACAGCAGTGCCGCTGGGGCTTGGTCGCCATAGTGACGGGTTGTACACTACAGAGTTTCCCAGGCAGCTAGTGCAGGCCACCTGCCTGCCTGAGGTTCATGGCTTCCCCATTGCAGTCGCGGGACTACAGCTTCTCCAAGTCGAGGTAGGCGCTGGCTGGGCTGAGGGCGGAGAGGATGAGTACTTCAGAGAGGGAGATGATTTTGGATCCGGACCTCTGCACCCGTTAGCCTCTGTCCCTTGGGCTAGGACTCCCAGCCCCACATAATCAGTGCTGCAGAAACAGAATCCACTTGTCAGTCCAATGAAGACCTTACATGCTATCAGCAAATGGGCAGGCGTATTTTATCATTAATAGTCGCAGCCACCTTGTACTGAACGTTAGTATGCAAAATGCTTTATACGTTTAATCCTCCAACATCTCTATGAGGCAGTAATCACATCTTACAAATGAAGAAATGGAAGCCTGGAGAGATCAGGTGCTTTAACACATACTTACAAGTGACAGAGGCCAGATGGAGTGGCACACACCCGTAATCCCAGCTGAAACCACAGGATCACTGTAAGTTCAAGGCCAACTTGGGCTATGTAGTCAGTTCAAGACCAGCCTTGAACTACACAGTGAGACAGACCATACCTAAAAAACAAACAGGACCCGGGATTTACCTCAGTGGTGCTGCTGCCTGCCACCTAAGCAAATGGTACTGGGTTCGATCCCCGATACCAAAAAAAGAAAAAAGAAAAAAGACAAAACAAGCAAGCAAACAGTTTTTTTAAAAACCCTAATGATATAAGCGATGGAGCTAAGATTTTTCTTTGGGGTGGGGGTTACCGGGGATTGGGACCTTGTGCTTTCGAAGCAGGTGGCAGAACCACTGAGCGAAATCCCCAGTCCAAGCTAAAATTTGAACCCAGCTGTGTCAGACTCTTGGACTTTAGTCATTAGCCATTAGATAACTGTCTCTTCATCCATATAAGAGATACTTGTCAAATTGTTGGCTGACCCTTGCAGCCCAAGTACATTCAATGGCTTTAGGTTATCTCCTGCCTGCATTCAGGGGATGCAGCCTCTATAAACTATAAAAATGTGATAGCAAGGTATATTGGCCAACAAAGCTATGTATATGGATTTAGTAAAAAAACTTTGACTATATGTCTTTCTAGCTTTGAGATCTCAAAAAAGAAAGAAAGAAAGAAAGAAAGAAAAGAAAAAAAGAAAAGAAAAGAAAAGCCCTTGAATTTCCAGACCTCAAAATCAGTTTTGAGAACATTTAGGCAGAAATGGGAAGCCCTCACCACAGCTCTTGTATATAATAGACATTCAGTAAGTGTTAAATGTAGTTCTTTCTCCCCTCCCTTCTGCTCATTCCCAATGGAGAAAAACCTGACCTTACTTGCACTTTAATCTTTCAAGGTCTGCTGCCTTGACAGAGAAAACCAACAAAAGTCCCTTGGAGCAAGAAATGTCAATTTGATTTTATTATTCAAAGCTAAAATGAGTCTACAAGAACCAGGCAGAAGGCTTGAGAGAGTTGTTCCCAAGCACAGTCATAAACTAGAAAACTACAGTCAATGATGAAAGGCATATAAAACAGACTCAGAAAAAGGAATATCCAAACATTTTAGGAGGGAAGCACAAAGTCATTTCTGAGAGCTGAACTTGGTGGGGATATAACTCAGTGGCGCTCTGCCTTCCTGGCAACTGCAAGGTCCTGAGCTCCATTCCCGATACTGAGGGGGGAAAAAAAGGAATACTGCACATTTATTGCTTCTTGGCCTTTTGACTAAGCTCAAATGTAGTATCTGTTCTTATCAGCTCAAGTTCAAGTCTTTGAACTTGCTGGAATTACAAGTGTGCCATCACAGCAGGCTAGTTCCATTTTTATAGGCAAAGACATTGAAGTTCAGAGTGGTTAAGCAGCATTGACAAGGTCACCAGGATATATAAGGGAAGCAAACACACAGGTCTGTCTGGTAGCATACCCCTACCCCATGGATTGCTGGAATTACTTCTTCCCTTTGTTCCATCTTTTGGCCTCCAAATGTCTTCCTAACTAGAACAAAGTTTGGGTCTCCTAAGATGTTTGTGTGTGACTCCCTTAGAATCACTTTTATAACATCCTGCTGTCATAATATCTGGGCAGCTCTTTGCAGTTTACACAGTATTTTGCATTTCTAACTTATTTAAACTTGAAGTATTGTGAGAAGCAAAGCAAGAATTGTCTCCATTTCTTTAAGAGGAAACCAGACTAAAAAGGTTAAATTGCTTGTCCTAGAGCATCCTATTGGAACCCCAGATGTCTCTCCCCAGATCCTATCAGCCATAGTGGAAGATCCAGACTCATATGCCAGCTCCTAGGCCCAAATCTTGCACTTCTTGTTCTACTGCACCTGTCTTTGGTATCGAATTCTTAGAATGTGGGAGATTTGTGGACATGAAACCATAGTCACAGCCACAGTGAATGGAAATTTAAGTCCATAGGGCTTTCTGGGTTCATTGTTAGGGTATCTTGCAGCTGTTGAAGTTTATAAGACTCTAGTGATGAGAAAGGAAATGATTTGGGATCAGGGCCTTGCTAAACAACATCTGTAGGAATCTGAAGGTGGTGCTGGGAAGACCCAGAGCCTGGCTCTGAGGCAAGGGGAGGCCATGACTTGTGGATTTGGGAAGGGTAGCGGAAGCTGCTCTGCACCCTGGGCTCTGTTACCCACCACGAGCTTTTCCTCTGTGCAGAAAATACCTGAGACCTTCAGGAGTGACCACAGATGATTTCTTTCCAGAATCCAAGAGCACCCAGAAATTCAAGCTTTCTCAGAAACGGAAGATGCTGGTTAGTAACAATGCCCTTTTGGAACACCACATATTAGTCCCTGGACTGTGTCTGTCTCCCTTTCTGCAACCCAAAAGCACCATGCACCTGAAATATGCCCACTAAAGTAGCTATTTCCCAAGCAGAAGAGCGCAGCTCACAGATGCAAGGCCAATCAGGCTTTGGAAAAGTGGGGAGAGCACACTGGCTGCTCCTCGTCTGAAAAGTCTTCCCATACCTCCCTAAGCCTCAGACTCCTTTCCCGGCAGCTCAGCATTCTAGAGTGGGCCTCATTTCTTCATCAAGACTACGATGTGCCCTGCACCTCTTCAGTGCTGGGATGGTCATACTAGATCTTCCGAAGTTATTCAGTGCTGTGACTGTACCTTTCTGTCTTTATGGCTCTAGTAGCCGATAAAGTACTTAAGTGGCTAGCATACCTTGAGAGGTCCAGAAATGCTTATGAGCAGGCACGTGGCAGCAGGGTAAAGAGATGTGTTTCTCCATTGTGTTGTTGGCTCTAGCTTCCTCCTTCATTCCTGTTATTTAAAGTTTTGTTTTGTTTTGTTTTGCTTTATTTTGTGTTAGTACTGGGGATCGAACTCAGGACCTTGCACTGGTGAGGCAGGTGGTAGAAACACTGAGCTAAATCCCCAGCCCCTTTAAAGTTTTTGTATAAAAATGAATGCTGCCAGGCATGGTGGCACATGCCTATAATCCCAGCACTCCTGGAAGGCTGAAGCAGTAAGATAGTTATGAGCTTGAGGCCACCACCCTGGACTACACAGTAATTTCAAGGCCAGTCTGAACTTCATAGTGAGATTCTGTCTCAAAAAAGAAAAAAGCTTGGGGGGGTGGCGCACACCTGTAATCCCAGCACTCGGGAGGCTGAGGCAGGAGGACTGCTGTGAGTTCGAGACCAGCCTGGGCTACATAGTGAGTTCCAGGTCAGTCTCAACTACATAGTGAGACCCTGTCTCAAAAAACCAAAACAAACAAACAAAAACAAAAAAAAAAAGGAAAGAAAAAAGAAAAAAATGCTTTGTACGTGTGTGTGTGTGTGTGTGTGTCTATGTGCTTGCCTAGCTCTCAAGCACTGTACCACAGAGCTTCTGTTGATATGATCATAGGATTGTTTGTTTGTTTGTTTGTTTTTGTTTTGGTGCCGGGGATCAAACTCCGGTCCATTGAGCTTGTGAGGCAGGCCACTGAACCACTGAGCTAAATCCCCAGCCATAGGATTGTTATTTAATTAACAAATAACCATTGTCTGGGGCTGGGGATTTAGCCCAGTAGTTCTGCCACCTTCTTCTCAAGTGGAAGGTCCTGAGCTCAATCCCCAGTACCAAAAAATAAAAATAAAAATAATAAAACTGTCCAAATCTCAGAGGAACAAACACATTTGAGCAAACTTGTAGCTGTAGCTCACAATAAAGCGCTGTCGTCCAAGTGCTGCTTTCCTTCTAAATGTCCCTTGAAGAGGATTTGAGACTATGTGGGCTGCACACTTTGTGAGACGGGACTGCCAACACGGGTCCTTTCCAGAGAGAGTAAGATAGGCACTCTGTTTGCAAAGGTGAAGCTGAACCAGGTCCCCCTGGGCTAGCCTTGTTGACTCCCTGCCCCCATCAGTGGTACAGGGACAAGCTCATTTGTTCTTTCTTGTGGTGGGGGTGTACGGGGGATCAAACTCGGGACCTTGCACTTGCGAAGCAGGCCGGGCAGCGGAACCACTGAGCTAAATCCGCGGCTGCTCTTTTTTCTGTGCAGCCAAAACCAACCACTAGGGGACGATGTTCCCCCTGCGGTTCCCCCGCCCCACTCTGGGAGCCGCTTTCCCATTTTCACCTGCAGGGGGTAGCAGAGAGCAGAGAGCTCCAGGAACATCGTGTTCCAGTTACCAGCCAGCTGAGCCCAGTTGTTAATAATAACCCCGACCAGGCGGCCAGTGCCGCTTGTTATTTCTACGCTCTGCAGTCAAACCCTTCCCCCGCCCAATAGAAACAGCTGAGCACCTGTATTGGCTTTTCTTTTATTTTATTTTTTTGCTTTTGAGACAGGGTTTTGCCATGTAGTCAGTCTGGCCTTGAACTCATTATGTACCTTAGGCTGGCCTCAAACTCTCAGCCATCCTCCTGCCTCAGCCTCCAGAGTGTTGGGATTACAGGCATGCGGCACCATGCCCAACCTTTAGGGAGGGTGAGGATGGAGGATTATAAATTCAAGTCTTGCCTGGGCAATTTAGATAGACTATATCTCAAAAAAATGAGAAAAGGGCTGGAGATGTATTCAGGGGTAGACCACCCCCAGGTTCAATCTGTTAGCGCCAAAAAAAAAAAAAAAAAAAAAAAAAAAAAAAACAAAAAAAAAAAAAAAAAAAAAAAATCAAGCTGTGGTGTCAAAAATGTCACTCCAAGCTAGGCATTGTGGTACACGCCTGTAATCCCAGCACTCAGGAGGCTGAGGCAGAATTGGCACGAGTACATAACATTTTTATTTTAAGTAATAAGTGGGTATGAGAAAAATGAATTTATTTTAATTTTTTGAATAATTATTTTAGAGACCTTTATATTATCTGTTCCTATTTTCACTGGGTATCACCCATGTAAGATTTCTGGTCTTTGATTTCAAAATATGTTAAAACTATTCAGAACTCTAGGAGGCTAAAACAGGAAAGTGAAAATTTGAGCCCACAGGGCTCACTTACTGATATAAAAGGTATTTAAAACAAACAAACAGAAAAAAGAAGACTGGGATGTAGCTCAGTGTGAAGGCTCTGGGTTCAATCCTCAGTACTAAAAAAGAAAAGTGTTAATACTTCATCTGTGATTCATGATTACTGTTCTATATGTTAAAAGATTATTTTCATTTAACCGATTATAAATCTGTTCATCTGTCATTATCAATTATATTACACTCAAGTTACTGACCTTCAACCTTTCTCTGCTCGATGTGATTTATCCTGATAGAAAAGCTTTAAGCTTTAATTGTGCCAGGCATGGTGCTACATGTATTCCTAGCATTCATGAGGCTAAGACCAGATGACTACCAATTTTTTACCTTTATAAAAAAATTTTTTTTGGTGGGGGCCAGAGATTTATCTCAGTGGTTCTGCTTCCTGCTTTGTAAGCATAAGGTCCCGAGTTTGATCCCCAGTATGAAAAAAAAAATTTTTATTAGTGAGGCATGATGGTACATGCCTGTAATCCCAACGCTTGAAAGGCAGAGGCAGAAGGATCACCTCAGAGCTGAAAGCCAGCTTGGGCTACATAGTGAGTTCAGGGCCAGCCTGCACTACAAAGTGAGACCCTATCTCAAAAAAAAAGGGGGGCTGGGGATTAGCTAAGTGGTTCGGCTACCTGCCTTGCAAGCAGAAGGTCCTGAGTTCAATCCCCAGTACCAAAAAAGAAAAAAAAAATTGTATTAGTACATGTCTGCTGTTTATAATGATTACATTCATCATGGGGAGTCGGTAAATGTATATAATACATCTTAATTCTTTTTCTTTTCTTCTTCTTCTTTTTTTTTTTTTTTTTTTTTTTTTTTTTTTTTTTTTTTTT